GCTTATTATCTCTGTATAAATAAAGAATATAATGTAAATGCGTAACGACCATATTACAGCGTTATGACATGTCAATATTATGATACAGATGAATGTCATTATATTAAACAAAGAGAGGAGGAAGCATACAGAAAAACTGCGTGAGAGAGAGGTACATACACACAAAAATGTGAAAGAGCGAATGTGAGGAAGGGAGAGAGTAAGAATGAGAGAGAATATGAGGAGGAACGAATAGAAAGAGAGAGAGAGAGTAAGAAAGAATGGGAGAGAAATGAGATAGAGCGAATTTAAGAAAGGGAGAGAGAGAGAGAGAGAGAGAGAGAGAGCGAATGTAAGAAAGGGAGAGAGAGAGAGAGCTAATGTAAGAAGGGGAGAGAGAGAGAGCGAATGTAAGAAAGGGAGAGAGAGAGAGAGAGAGAATGTAAGAAAGGGGGAGAGAGAGAGAGAGAGAGAATTAGAAGGAACGAATGTGAGATAGAAAGAGATAGAGAGTAAAAAAGAATGAGAGAGAAAATAAGAAAGAGGAAAAGAAAGAAAATAAGAAAGAGAGAGGGAGTAAGAAAGATTAAGAGAGAGGGAGAACAACACTGATACTATCTTTTTTATGATAAAATAAGATGACGCTCTATTTCTTAATTTATAATGTATCTATCAATTAATTTTCTACTACATGCTATGTATTTTTTCTACAGTAATAGTTATATTTGTATTACAGCAAAATTCAGTATAGCTATACAACGTCGTAAGGTAAGTTTAAATATGTCTGTATATAGAGACACTTGTGTGTGCGTGTGTGTTTGTACGTGTGTGTTTGTGTGTGTGTGTGTATGTGTGTGTGTGTAAAATAATACACATAAACACAAAATTAAAATTCCATCGCAATCAGAACGCAAGGTCTGTAGAAAAAAAAACATTTTTAATAACACAGTTTTATTAGCAATGAATCAACACACTTCAATAATATTTCCAGGGAGACTGGGAGCCCACCGAGATGCGCGATGACGTCATCAGCAGGAAATTTCGCCCTCCCCCCCCTTTACCATCTTCCTTTTCCGTAAGGAGGACCTGGATCGGGACAAGGAAATTAATTAATTGATCAGTTTATGATAGATCTTTCTCTAACTGAAAAGTATGGAGTTACGGGCAGAAAGATACTGTTTCTGGTTGCAAATATAACATATATGGTTGCAAATATCATGTTTACAGTGCTTTTTACGTTTATAATATTTGTATATCTTGGCTAGGTGACAGGCTTGTAAGAAAGATCAGATTGATACTTTTACAAATGTTCTACGCATATAGTACACATTCTCGAACGTACTGTATTAAACAACTTTACATACCGAGAAGTAAAACACATTTTTTACAATCAGACGAAACGCATCATCATAATACTCAACCTCCACTGATGTCCCCTTCCCGTAACATATATACCAGAGAATACTTTTTCACTTCAAATGCAAAGGCGAGTAACTGCAGTACACAATATACTATAACATACATATTTTTTCACGTCAAACGCAAAGGCAACTTACTGCAGTACACAATATATATTCTATTAGAATAATACGCATTTTCCAGTCAAACGAGACGCATCAACGCATCGGACTCACCCACAGCCAGGCACTCTCTCCCGCAGCCAAACGGACAGCACTTCTGGCCGGGTCCGCACTCGCTGTCCGAGAAACAGTTCCGTTCTGTCACGACGCAGATGCCGACGATGTCGCTCGTATCTGGGCACGTTCCTGGCCTAGTATAAGGACGGGGCCTACCTAAAAAAAATGATAATGATAATAATGATAATACGGGGCTTATTAAGAGTGATGATGATGATGGTGTTGGTGGTGGTGGTGGTGAAGATGATGATGATGATGCTGTTGGTGGTGATGATGATGATGATGATGGTGTTGGTGGTGGTGATGATGATGATGATGATGATGATGATTACGATTATGATGATTGCTACTGCTTCTGTCAATAACCATATTGATAATAATGGCAGTATTGGTAGCAGTAGTGATAATAATAATGTGATAGATAAAAAATAATAATAATAACATCATAAAAAATCAAACGAAATGAATCTGTTTCTTTTGCCTCCATCCAGAGGAGTCACGCTGTGCGAGTATTTTATTCATAACTAAGTTTATGATACTAATAATTTTTCTTTACATTCTCTTTATTGTGCATTTTACTTGTATGGTGAAAAGCCGCTTTTCTCTCTCTCTCTCTCTCTCTCTCTCTCTCTCTCTCTCTCTCTCTCTCTCTCTCTCTCTCTCTCTCTCTCTCTCTCTCTCTCTCTCTCTCTCTCTCTCTCTCTCTCTCTCTTCTCTCTCTCTCTCTCTCTTCTCTCTCTCTCTCTCTCTCTCTCTCTCTCTCTCTCTCTCTCTCTCTCTCTCTCTCTCTCTCTCTCTCTCTCTCTCTCTCTCTCTCTCTCTCTCTGTCTCTCTCTCTCTCTCTCTCTGTCTCTCTCTCTCTCTCTCTCTCTCTCTCTCTCTCT